AGGTTAAATTTTTCGACTCTGTAGTAGCATCAAACATAGGTTCGAGTTTCATTGTACATTTTTTTTAAAAAAAAGAGCCCCCGTTTGACCTCTATTATTTGAAATTTAAATGGTTGGAATGGTCAATGATTTTTTTAAAAAAAAAATGTGTGGTTGAAAAAGAAGAAAAAATTTTGAGATTATGTGTAATATTATTTTATTGAAAAATATATGATTGATAAAAAGAGTGAGATGAATGAATTTGAGGGTCAAATATGACTGAATCTAATCCGAATGTTACGTGATGAATTGAAAATTAATCTAAAATATATTAATATACTCTGCTTAAGTTTTTTGAAATGGTGAAGTTCAATGTTTACAAGACATTTTTCGCGTCATTCCTTCGTATGGATCAAACTTATATCCTTAGATGTATATATAATTTACTATCCCCATATACTGAAAATCCATAACCCCAATTTTTATGGGAATACCATTTAGTTGACTTACAGAGAATCGGAGACCTGCCTCGTTCTTTTGGGAGAAAAACCTTCGCTCTAACTTAAATTAAAAAAAGTTGTTCACTCAACCTACATTGGCGGTTCTTTCAAGCGGGAAGTGGCCCTACAGGCGAGCATCTACCGCGACACAAGAACATAAACAATTGAACTTTATACATTTTGTAATAATATTCTTTTAAGTTTGTAAAAGTTTAGAAAGAGAATAAGTTTATTATTTAGATGTTTTAACGAGCTTTTGTGAATTTCAACTAATACTTTCAAATACTTTTGTCTCGCTTATACTATATTCGATGAAATAAAAGATAGCAAGAATATGGGAATTTTGTCCTCAACCTTAGCTTTATTCTTGTATTTTAAAAATTAAGTAGTCATATGAATTTGTATTTTAAAAATCAATGAGTTTGATGGATTACACGTCAAAGAAAGTAAAAGCCAATGTACTAGCATGATTGTAACATGTAACTACCAAAGTTTGTGGGGCTTAATAAGATTTCAATCTTTTGCCTATTTAAAGGTTTAAATGATAATTATATCATCATGTTTGACTCTTTTTAAATAAAAACTCTTTATTTCATATATTCACGTCCAACCATACATTCATATAATAAAATGTTATGCACGTAAATTTAAAACGTTTCTATACTTTTTAACCACACATAATCTGAAAATCAGTATTCAAAACATCACGTTTTTCCAAATTCTTTTTAAAATGACCATCAAAGAGGGATATATAAACATTCATCTCTTCATAAAAGGTCACAATTTTTTTCTTAACTTTCAAGATTTTATCAAAGAACGAGCTCTCGTATGGAGTCAAATTTTTTAAAGAATGTGTGGTTAATTAGTATGGAAAATTATGGAGAAACGTAAAAAAAATGATGCAAAGAAAAGTGATTTAAATTAAAAAAAATCAATCAAACAAGAATTGAATTTAGGTTTGTATTACCATTGACCCAATGTCACCATTTTGGCCATCCTTCTTTTCATGTTGTAAATGGAAAAATATTTGGCATGGATCAACACTATAATTTTAATAAGTTTTGATAAAAATTAATAAAATGTGTTTTTGAAAAATTATGGGTTCCATAAAGTATGTGGTTAAAATTGATTATTAACTTTGACTTATACTAAATTTTAATTTTAATTTTCATCAAGCATGAACTTAGTATCGAGTTGTATACGTCGAAAAATCACAAAATTTAAATAGACTTGAGCCCAGTGATTGGTTACACATTTGATTTGAAGAAAACTAAATTAATGTCAAACCCACTGTAGAAGTTTCAATTTCATATCTGAATTGTATGTTTTACTGTGTACTACATAAATTGTTCAAATTCAGCTTAGGTTCCCACCAACTTACTCAAAATTTGTTCATAACAAGCTACGCTTAAAATCAAATTTTTAATAAATTTTGATAAAAGTTGATAAAATATATGGTTGAAAAATTATAGATCGCTTGAAATATGTGGTTAAATATAATTATTAACTTTAATATAGATTAAAATTTGAATTTGAATTTCTACCAAACAAAATTATATATGAACATTGCCTCTAGATTTATTACAAAATTATTATTTTTTTTTTGTACCAGTACAAAAATAAGAACCTGTTTGGTGCACATTAAAATGAGAGAATACATTTTTTTGAAATGATGTGACAGGGACGGATCCAGGATTTTTTGTAGGGGGGGCTGGAAGCACTGAGCAAAGCCAATGTAAGAAAATTTACATGTACAGAAAAAAAATTCATTAAAGATCATTATTTATTTAAGTCGTTCTCGACGAGGATTCGAAACATAATATTCATCTATAATAGAAT